ATGATGTAGTTTCAGATTTAGGAGATTAAAGCTACGGTCTGTATCTCCTAATAATAACAAAAAACGTAACATATTCATTCATAAATACATGTATGATAGTTTAAAGAAAATAACACACTCAGTCATAAATACATGTATGATAGTTTTTTAAAAAGAAACATCTGCTTTAGTTAAACATTCTGGTTAGGTGTTAACTGTGAAAATGAATAAACATATATTTTGTTTTTAATAAACATATTTTTGTCTGTTTAAAATACAAAAGAAAAATAAGAAATTATATGGAAAAGGACGAGATCATAAAAAGACTAAGTAGTAATAATTTAAGCTTGATGGAGAAAAAAATGTGAAAAGGACCTTTCCACGTGTTATATGGGAGAACTCGGTTATGAGGTAAATACGCGGTCAATCTCTAAACGTGTCCTCTTCACTAACTACGTACCAAACCACTTTGATTTCGCTTCTCCAACCAAACAAGAAGAAAGAAAGTTAGACGACACAATGGTCCAATCGGAGATAAGTGAGACAATAGAGACTCAAATGTCCTTTTACTCACCTTTTTACGTGTTATTTTAGCTGTTACACGACGCCATATATCAATGTATCATGATTATCTGAAGCTAATTTGGTGAAGAGATACGACCTTCCGACTTTTATATGCTTCCTTTCTACTAAACTAATAGGCGGAGTTTCTAGAAATTTTATACGTGAAGTATGTTTCTTCCTAAACTATATGTGAAAGTTTTGTTTCTTTATTTCATATGTGTCCACGTATAATACCCACAAATTCAAGACTCTTCTAATTCTAGTAATTTCATGATAAGATAATAGGGCTGTGACTTTTATCCGGGATTCGGATGATCCGATCCAGACCCGTTCTAAAATTAGGATATCCGAAGGTGTCCAGATCCAAATCCGGATAGTAAAGTTTCGGATCCGTGCAAACCGAGTCCAAATATCTTAATTTTTAGGTCTCGAGATCCAGATTCGGATCAGTTTTTTTTTAAATATATTAATTTTTCATTTTTTTATTAATTATATCTGATATATTAATATTTATATAAAAATAAGTATATAATATTATATTTTAATATTAATAATATTATATATATTCATAAATATTTAATTTATGTATTATTTTTTTTAAAGATTGATTTTTTTAATTATTTTTACGGATACGAATCCGAATCCGGATATCCGCATATATCACAATATCTAGACAGATATCCGAAATCCGGATATCTAGATATTAAAATCACGGATCCGACGAATTCGAATTCGGATTTGGATACTATAAATTTCCTGGATATTCGGATCCGTCTCAGCTCTAATATATAATATAGTAAAACGATTAAATTCGACTTCGCATACTAGAGGTCCTAGATTATGATTAACAATACAAATTTAATATATCGTGCCTAAAGTCTGAAAGACAAGAATATCGTATGATCATCTCCGGTTTGTCTTTATATTTTTTAATAGAAACACTACTATAAAATAAATTGCATTCTAATGTGCATGTATAATAAAAGCTGTATATTATAAAAGTATACCTGGAAGCAAAATGATATCCATATTATAAAAATACATAAATATAGATCATCTAAGTTTTGATTTTATTTTTTTTTGTAACTGGCTTTAGTTTTGATTTTTTATTCTAAATATAAAAGAATATTAGAATGGAACATTACAAAAACTAATCGGTGGTCATTTGCTGCCAACAAGTATTTGGCACATTTATTTAAACGTGTAAGAAACTGTGAGTCTGTGATGAAAGAACAAAACATAATTGTACGAATTTCTGTTTCAATGTTGACCCAATAGAAAAAGGAGTGGTCTAATATCTCTGCAGATCTCGACAAAAAAATATAAGTGATTTTGCTAAGACTTAAGAGTATCATTTCAGACAATTCAAAGTATCTTAGAGAGAAAGTCATATGATGCAACACACCGACTTTTAAGAAATTGCATGCGTGGGGTATTAGTGTTCAATTTACTATTTGTTCGTTTCTTTTTGGTCACAACTGGAATTTGATTAACTTATGACATGAGTCATACAAACAGAGAGCCATACAACACCCGAAAGAGTTACGGGAACTAAAGGGAATCTACACCCAACCAAAGAGGAACTACGTCCAGCAAATTTAAAAAAGACATACCAACTTAAGATAAAAGAGAGGCTGATCACTAGAGGATCTCCAAATCTCTAATACTCAAAACTACCATCTGCACAACACCAAAAATAACCCCTTCAAAGGATTACTAAGATGGAAAAGCCAGAAAAGAGCTGAAGAACAAGAGCTCCGGAAGAGCCACACTGCTACAAAGCGAAGTGTGAACAACCAGGAACCCCACCAGACTCCAAACGGCAGAGACAAATACAAGGCGTAGAGGTAGAAATTTCACAACGACCAACACCAAGAGAAACCAAAACCAAAGACAGGTTCAAGCACAAGAAGCAAACCTTGAACACTGATCGAGGAAAAAGTCTTCCAAGACCTCCAATTCTTACACACGGGCCCTCGCATCCCAAACTCAGCCATCTACCGACTAGAGAATGGCCACCTCCACGCAAAGAGAAGAACTGAAAGACGGACCCACTACGACGCTAGTAACCCCACCAGAAACACACAGCTTCTAAGTAGAGAAAGTAGATGCTCCCACAACAAGACCACATCCAAAAGACGAACCCCAAACCAGACTTGAACCAAATCCTAGCAAAACCACCTTGGACCGGATAAGAAGAAAAGCCGAGCACAAGAACAAGACCAGGCCATAACCAACAAGAAATCTGTAATAGAAACTGAAGCCGGAACATCTGGCCTTGCCAAAAAACCCGTCGCTACAGACACCACAGTCACCAACCGGAGAGACCAACACCAACAATCAACCCCAAAACCACCACGAAAACCATGCCGCTACAAGACCAACAAGGATCTGAAGCTCAAGCCCGTCAGAGACCTCCACACAAACCAACCACACGGACTGTCTCCACCTACCCTACCACCGAGTCCCTAAGAGACCTCGCAGAGACGAGAGCTTTCCGCACCGAAACCAAACGCAGACCCAGATTCGCATCCAAACATAACACCTAACTAGCAGATCTACAAAGGACAAAGAAAACGAAGCTAACTAGACCGGCGGTGGTGCTAACGGAGCCACCACGCGCCGGTCACCGGAGATTGAAGAGTTTGTGGCTGAGGGGATGAGGGAGACGGGAGCTGCGGCTTTTTCGACCTGATATGCTTATTTTCTACTATTTGTTCGTTTCTATAAGTTATGATTTTGGGTAACTAGTTTCAAGGAGAATTAGACAACTAAATAAGCAACTAACTAGTGGACCATAGTATGTTTCATTAGGGTGAATGTAGAGATAGACATATGGAGTTGGTATGAACATCTCCAATGGCTACTTATTTTTTCCTCTATTATTTACATTAGAATATAATAACTCTATTATTGAGTAGATTTTACTCCAATAGTCTACTCTATAATAGAATTAACTTTATTAGGACATCTCCAACAAAGTATTATTTTTTCTCTATATTTTACATTAAAATAGATTAACTCTATAATAGTATTGAATTTACTCTAATGGTTCATTTTATAATAGAGTTACTCTAAGTATGAATTATAGAAGGATATTAGATTTTTACTCTATATTTGGAGTAAAAAGAAACATCCATCTATAATTCACACTATAATAGAGTAACTCTATTACTCTATTATAAAGTGAACCATTGGAGCAAATTCAACTCTATAAAATAGTGTTTCATGGAAATGGTCTTATAGAGTGAAATATAGAATAATGTCATTTTTTTACTCTATATTTGGAATGGAAAAATAACATTACTCTATATTCCACACTATAAAGAGTAACTCTATTATAGAGTAAATCATTGGAGTAAAAATTACCCTATAATAAAGTTACTCTATAATAAAATTACTCTATTTTTATGTAAATTATAGAAGAAAAAATAAGTAGTTAGTGGAGATGATCTAAGGTTAATTTACTGCATAAATATAGTAATAAAATATACGATTACTGCATAAATAGAGTAATAAATTTTAAATATTTATTACTTCATAAAATGGGTATAGTAGAGGTGCGACTCAATTTCGGACTAGAAATATACTGAAAATGCTCAAAGTTTTCAAAAGCTTCAGACTTGTTAAGTGATCGCCAGATATTTATGGATCCTCTATTCAATTCTTTTGTTCTTAGTGCATATCATAGTTTAATAGATATTGTTGTAAAAAAAATATTATTTTATTCAATTATTATTATTATTTTTATTTTATTGTTGCGGGATATTTCCTTTGTACACATTCTTCTCTTACAGAATAATTGATATTAGAGTAAAGTTTAGATGAGATCAACGAACTTCCGGTTGCTCTGTCGCGTCCGTACACTTAAGACGGTCGTAGAATTAAATATAGAGTTAACCTGTAGAAATTGTACGGACACTGGACACAAACACTTGAGCACCAGTGGACCGTATCAAACACTGGACACAAACACTTGAGCACCAGTGGACCGTATCAAACACATGAACATAAAAATGTAAAGCCTTTAAGATATTTTCACGTGGAGACGAATAGGCCATGTTTGGAGTTCTCTCAATCAAGATGCCAATTTGGCGATGATAATCTAATGAAACATCATCTTACCTCAAATAAATATTTTTGTTAATATATAAACATATACCTCTGATATTTGTAGAGGAGTTTCACAAATTTTAGAATTTGTTTGCACACTAGTTTCAAAAGGACAAACTATTTCCTACTACACCTTCCTGTCAAAAATGTTTATATACACTTAATTTTTATATACAACCTGATGTTATGGAACCATCCAACGAAGATACATTGTACTAGATTATAGGTTTTTTCAGGACCAATGCATATTCAAGCTGCCAAAGATTGATAGCTTTTTTTAACAAACTTAGAAGCAAGAAGCCACAAAAATAAAAAGACAAAGTGAGTTAAGGATTGAAGTAGATGCATTTGTCTAAGTGACTAAATGTGAAAGGTCTCAACTTTGAACCATAACATATTACTCTGTTTTTTTCTCTTAATACCCACTCACTACATTCCTGTCTATGTCACTAATTCAAAACACGTGGCAACCCACCATTCCCCTCTCCCGGTTTATATAAACCCTTAAACACTTCATCGCTCTCAAAACAACTCTCCCTTCTCTACTTTAACAAAGAAGCAAAAAAAAAAAAAACAGAGCCTTTAACAATCTCAAAATCGAACTCTCACTCTGAAGCAACAATACTGACTACACATACTCTAAAAATGTCTTCTTTCACGGCGACTGCAGCGGTCTCTAGGAGATGGGTCTATGGCAACCATACTCAACCGCCATTATCATCTTCTCAAAACTCTGACGTGAGCTATTCCTCCTCCATACCCATGACAACTCGTGTCCAACGAAAGCTCAACGTTTCCTCTGCGCTTCACACTCCTCCTGCTCTCCATTTCCCCAAGCAACCCACCAACTCTCCAGCCATTGTTGTCAACCCCAAACCTAAAGACTCCGACACTAAACAAATGAACTTGTTCCAGAGAGCAGCTGCCGCGGCGTTGGACGCGGCAGAGACGTTCCTCGTTAGCCACGAGAGACAACATCCACTCCCTAAAACAGCTGATCCCACAGTTCAGATCGCCGGAAACTTCGCTCCAGTGAATGAACAGCCTGTCCGGTCTAAACTCCCGGTTGTCGGAAAAATACCGGATTCCATCAAAGGAGTGTACGTGCGCAACGGAGCTAACCCTCTTCACGAGCCGGTGACCGGTCACCACTTCTTCGACGGAGACGGGATGGTACACGCCGTTAAATTCGAAGACGGTTCAGCTAGCTACGCTTGCCGGTTTACTCAAACAAACCGGTTTATCCAGGAGCGTCAATTAGGCCGACCGGTTTTCCCCAAAGCCATCGGCGAGCTCCACGGTCACACCGGTATCGCCCGTCTCATGCTATTCTACGCCAGAGCCGCAGCCGGTTTAGTCGATCCAGCACACGGAACCGGAGTAGCTAACGCCGGTTTAGTCTATTTCAACAACCGGTTATTAGCGATGTCGGAAGACGATTTACCATACCAAGTCCGGATCACTCCAAGTGGAGACTTGAAAACCGTTGGCCGTTACGACTTCAACGGACAATTAAATTCCACAATGATCGCCCACCCGAAACTCGACCCGGAAACCCGCGAACTATTCGCGTTAAGCTACGACGTCGTTTCCAAACCTTACTTAAAATACTTCCGCTTCTCACCGGACGGGATTAAATCACCTGACGTGGAGATAAACCTCGATGAGCCGACGATGATGCACGACTTCGCGATAACAGAGAACTTCGTGGTCATACCTGACCAGCAAGTCGTCTTCAAGCTCCCGGAGATGTTCCGCGGCGGCTCTCCGGTGGTTTACGACGAGAACAAAGTCGCGAGATTCGGAGTTTTAGACAAATACGCGGAAGACTCGTCGGCCATCAAGTGGATCGAAGCGCCGGAGTGTTTCTGCTTCCATCTCTGGAACGCTTGGGAGGAGCCAGAAACAGAGGAGATCGTCGTGATCGGTTCTTGCATGACTCCGCCGGACTCAATCTTCAACGAGTCCGACGAGAATCTCAAGAGCGTCCTCTCGGAGATTCGGCTCAATCTCAGAACCGGTGAATCCACTCGCCGTCCGATCATCTCCGACGAGCAAGTTAACCTCGAAGCGGGGATGGTTAACCGGAACATGCTCGGACGTAAAACCCGGTTCGCTTACCTCGCTTTAGCCGAGCCGTGGCCGAAAGTCTCTGGCTTTGCGAAAGTTGATCTCTTTAGTGGTGAAGTTGAGAAATATTTGTATGGAGGTGAGCGTTACGGTGGAGAGCCTCTGTTTTTAGCGGGAGATGAGGACAGAGGAGAAGATGACGGTTATATCCTCTGTTTTGTTCACGATGAGATGACGTGGAAGTCGGAGTTACAGATTGTTAACGCCGTTAGTTTGGAGGTTGAAGCGAAGGTTAAGCTTCCGTCAAGGGTTCCGTATGGGTTTCACGGTACATTTATTGGAGCTGATGACTTGGCGACGCAGGTGTGAGTGTTATGTGTGTATATACGAATACGTATAGGTGACGATGAAGAAGCTTCTAGAAGATAAAGAGAGAGAGACTTACCAGTGGGATGCTCTATACGTCCCCGGAGTCTACTCCTCTTGTGTGTGTGTTTTTCTATTTTCCTCTGTTTCTTTGATTTTTCAATTTGGGTGCAGTTTCTAGTTCCCTCTTTTTTTGGGATTAATCTAGAAATCTGAAAGATTTTGAGGGACCAGTTTGTAGCTTTTGAGCTGTAGGGTAGCCTGGCCGGTTCGAGCTCAGTTGGTTTCTGTTATTCTTTCACTTATTGTTGTACAGTGAGAAGTAAATATTAGTATAATAAAAGGAGATTATGTTGATATGTGTGTTACTAGCAAACATTTGCTTTTAAGCAATGTTCGATGCGCTAGGCACTAGTCGGCGGTTCGATTGGGTCTAGCGCCTAGGAAGAAAATTAAGGATTAATCGGGAATTATACGGGTGAAATTTTTAGACTATTTGATATGTTATAAGATATATTAATTTTTAATTGTGTATAACATTAAACATTTTCATGTTTAGAATCTTATAAACACACACAAATAGAATATACAAAGTTAATATGATATAATCAAAATTATAATTTATTAAATTTTAAAACAAATAAATAGAAAAAATATTATTTAAAAAAAATAGATTAGGCGGCTGCCTAGGCGGCTAGGCGGTCTAGACGGATTAAAATCAGACGACCGATTTTCTACAGCGATTTGGCATAAATCGGGGCGGAAGAGGGTCGTCTGGCGTCTAGGCGGCTAGGCGTCCGAATTTTAGAACATAGCTTTTAAGTAAGATTTTGTCTATGATTTTAATTTTATTCTAATTGTATCCGTTTTACTTATGGAAAGGTTTTCTGGTTTGTGAGTTTGTGACATCATTTGGTTCTAATGTTAAGATGGTTTGTGTGTCATCATTATTCATCAAATGATTTTTAAAACATGGACCAATGAAAGAGAGACAAGACTCAAGTAGCTTTTGGACTTCAAACCAAAAAGGTAATAAGCAAATTACATGCCGTATGAATCTAGTTTATCACTTTTGGTATTTGCATGGAAGAGAATCACCAAAGTCAACTTCAGTCAATTCTCGAAATAGAAACTAACGAGTGAAATTAAATCACGTAAAAAGACTATGTAATTTGATTATGACTTATTGTTATTAACCTGTTTGAAAGGCATTGCCATTTAGTAACTAGTCGGTGATATTAAAAAAACATTGTTATTTTGGTAAGCAGAACAGTAAACATTGGATATGTGTAATGTGAGTGGTGGGTACACACTGGAGAGACAAATCAAGGTTATTGGAATTGTGACGGAATTAACGGCATTATTCTTATTTTATCAACAAAAACGCGTATATTACTTTTTCTTCGATATATTTCATTTATTTTTAATAATGTTACACTTAATATGAACGTGATCTATGATTGTATAGAGAAAATAAAGCTATAAACAAAGAACGAGAAAAGAGTGTTTCGGTGTACTGAGATTATAAGACATTTGCAAAGTAATTGGTACGCAAATAATCTACATTTACTAAAGAAGAGTAGTTTAGAATATGCTTGCACAGATTAAAGATTTTAAGTTTACGTACACGTTTTAGTCATCTAATCGATATATCTAGCAACTGTGTTAAAAAAAATTAAGAGTGATTTAGTGAACTATCCATATTTGAAGATCAAATTAGCAAAATACCATTGATTGGACATGAAGGACACTGACACAACCATTTGGCAAGGAAATGCCGAGAATACCCTTTCTCTTTCCTCTTATTAACACGAAGCGTAAAAACATTTGTTAACATATAACAATTCTGTTAACGTCTACAATATTTGTTAACAGCCAACACATTTATTACCGCGAAGCGTAAAAATAATTGTTAACAGTTAACACTTCTGTTAACGTCTACAATATTTGTTAACAACGAACACATTTATTAACGCGAAGCGTAAAAATAATTGTTAACACCTAACACTTCTGTTAACGTCTACAATATGTGTTAATCGTTAACACGACGTCGAATCTAAAACCCAGAAAATTGATATCATCAAAAAATTGAGGATTCAAAGCCACTTATGAAAAAAATAATGAAATTTAAAATTTAATTGTATATAGAATGATAGAAATTTGTAAAATAATTAGGGATTTGAGAGAAAAAAGGTCAAAATTGAGGATTCAAAGCCACTTATGAAAAAATAATGAATTTAAAATTTAATTGTATATAGAATGATAGAGATTTGTAAAATAATTAGGGATTAAAGAGAGAAAAAAAGAGGGGAGATGTCAAAGAGAGGAGAGAGAGTGTAGAGAAGGGCAAAATGGTCCAAAGGAAAGTGATTGTCACATCATGGGCAATTCTCTAATTATAGGTGCCAAATAGGGCACTTTAGCCAATTATCTCAAAAATTAATATATGTAGAAACTAGATTGAGTAGAGATTCTCTTGGGATTAGTCTCGACTTTTCATTGTTTTGTAGGCATCAAATACTCTAAGAATAATTTTTTTGAAAATGTTTTTTTGAGAATTGTTTTTTTTTTACGTCACTCAAGGGCATTCCTTCGACTATATATGAAGAACATAAATGAAACACAAATTATTTATTTATTTTGTCATATTATATATTTCATATTTTAAAGTGATCGATCGTTTGTGTTTTTTTTTCATTTGTTTTTTTATTTTAACATAAGCAGATCCTTCCTTGTCATAAGGCAATTGAAGTATTTGCTTCAAGCTACATTATATTTTGTAAAAATAAAGCCACATTTCTTTTTTTTTCCACTGAAAGTTTTGATAATACGAAAGAACCATACAAGGATAGTGACACACAAAGGTTTCTGCTACAAGCAACAAACTACATATAAACCCAATAACAATACTACACTACAAACCCTTCCATCCGCTATCAAACACACAGAGACTAAAACCTCTAGAGGACCCTCCTTTCACCAACAAAGATATCATGTAGCCATCTCGGATGCCCCACTGAAACATAAGACTGCGAGAAACCACATTTCCTGACGCTTTGAGCAATGATCGAAGCCCCTCTATTCATGAAAAAAATAAAGCCACATTTCATCTAATTTCTTTTTGACAAATGGTTATCTTGTTTAACTTTTTTTTAATCTTGTTTATTCCATTTTTATCTTATTTTATTTAACTCTGAGAAACTTGGAGGCCCTGCTCGTTGGGAAGGAAGCTTTGTCGCCTTCAGAAGCTTTGTCACGCAATCTGGTTTATGGGATTTACAGCATACCGGAAACCATCTCTCCTGGCGTGGAAAGAGATATAATCCTTTCATCCAATCAAGACTTGATAGAGCTATGGCTAATTGTAGATGGTTTGAGTTGTTTCCTGCATCTTATTCTGAGTACCTCATGTTTGAGGGATCTGATCACAGGCCTTTGTTGACTTTTTTGGATAAAAATGAAAAACAAGAACTTGTTTCGGTATGATAGACGTCTAAATAACAAACCGGAGATCAAGGAGCTAGTACAAGAGCAATGGGTTAAAGGACAACTCGAAACAATCACAGCTCGCCTCTGTCGTGTTAGACAAGCTATTATCAAATGGTCTAGAGAACAGAATCACCGAACTACTGAATCCATTCTGGCTCTACAAAAAGACCTTGACACTGCGCTCTCAGCTCCTATACCAGACACAGATGTTATTGGTATGCTAACCTCAGAACTGGATAAAGAATATGCGGAAGAAGAAAGCTACTGGCGCCAGAGAAGCAGAGTCTTGTGGCTGCAATATGGAGATAAAAACTCAAGCTATTTTCACGCAATAACGAGAAGCCGCAAAACCATCAATAAGTTCTCTGTTATTGAAGACCAGGAAGGAGTTCCTGTCTATGAGGAAGAACAAATCACTGCAACCATCGCAAGCTATATTACGGAGCCCTCTTCACCTCACAATCTGATGGTGATCTCAAAGCAGTGGAGGAAGCCATAAAACCAAAAATTTCAGAGACTATGAATGAGTCTCTCATTGGAATACCAGATGACGGGGAGATAAAGAGAGCTGTTTTCGCAATACATGGTGATAAAGCACCGGGTCCTGATGGCTTCTCCACAAGTTTTTACCAAGGTTTTTGGGATATTATCGGCCCTGTGGTATGTGGGGATATAAAGGAATTCTTCGAGACTGGATGCTTGCTTAGACGGTACAATGAGACCCATGTGCGGTTGATTCCAAAGGGCAAGAATCCAAAAACAATCCAGGACTATAGACCAATCGCCTTGTGTTCCACCCATTTCAAGATCATTGCTAAGATTTTATGCAAGAGACTTAAACCCCTCTTGGCAGAGATCATTTCACCACACCAGTCCGCCTTTGTGGCGGGGAGAGCTATTGCGGATAACGTACTCATCACCCATGAGGTCCTCCATGTCTTGCGTACTTCAAAGGCTAGGAAACACTGTGCCATGGCCGTGAAGACGGATATGAGCAAGGCATACGATCGTTTGGAGTGGAGTTTCTTGGAAGGAGTTATGAATCAGTTTGGTTTCCACCCGAAGTGGATACACTGGATCATGGAGTGTGTCCGGTCTGTCTTCTATTCATTTCTTATCAATGGTAGTGCACAAGGGAACATAACTCCTTCACGAGGCATCCGACAAGGGGATCCCCTCTCGCCCTATCTATTTATTTTATGTTCTGAGGTTCTGTCGGGCTTATGCTTGAACGCCCAGGAACAAAAGAAATTGCAGGGGATCAAGGTCGCCAGACAAGCACCAGCACTCAATCATCTCCTCTTTGCTGACGATACTATGTTTTTCTGCCAAAGTGATCAAGGTACATGCTTGGAACTGTCTAGTATTCTCCAACAGAACATAAACCTGCTGAAATCGGCTATTACCTTTTCCGCTAAGACACCTATAGAGACCAGAAGGAGAGTGAAGAATTTATTGCATATAGAAGCTGAAGGTGGTATTGGCAAGTACTTAGGGCTTCCAGAGCACTTCAACAGGAAAAAAAAGGACATCTTTGCAGGAATAGTTGATCAGATACGCCAAAAATCCCATAGCTGGACCACGAGATTCCTAAATGCTGCGGGAAAACAAGTTTTACTCAAGTCAATCCTTGCTGCCATGCCTACGTATGCGATGACGTGTTTTAAACTACCGCTGTCCCTGTGTAAACAAATTCAAACAATTCTCACGAGATTTTGGTGGGACGCGAAACCGGATCTTCGAAAGTTAGCGTGGGTCTCTTGGAAGAAGCTGACTTGTCCGAGGTTTGCAGGGGGCCTGGGGTTTAAGGAAATCGAACAATTCACTGATGCCATGTTAGTCAAGTTGGCTTGGCGAATTTTAAAATTTCCCCAATCGCTTCTGGCTCAGACGTTCCTAGCAAAGTACTGCCACAGCACGTCATTCCTAAAAGCGTCAACACCGCAGGCATCATCACACGGATGGAGGGGGATCATGGC